CGATGACATTTTCGGGGAAATGGATGGAATCAGAGGTCATCACTTTCAGCAAAATAAACCAGACTCAAACAAACCCTCTATCTTTCACATTCACAGAAGTTATATTCAACTATGCATATTGCATATAAACAGATATGCTGGTTAGCTAGTTGACCGATAGATGATAGAATTTTGTGTGTGACATGTGAAAGTGGAAAGGGTTGGTAGAGACCTTGGGTGGGTGAAAAGAAGGTGATGGAATTCATATGGCATGAAAGCAGAAAGGGAGACAATTTCAGGGCCAGAAAGGGACCAACAAGGTTCAATTGGGGAATGGGGAGGATAGGTGGGAAAGTGAGATGAATAAATGTAAAGGACAAGGGCAAGTGCATGCAAATGACACAATGAAACCCATTACTTTAAACGATAACTTAAAGAACGTTTAAATTATAAGCTTTAGAAGTTTCAGTAAATAATACGACTGTTTATATTTTATTTATTCAAAACAGTTTGATAACTAAGAAGTAGGAGAGTGATTAGGATGATGCCATAGTTATTATTTGAGGCAAATCAGAAGACTGATCTTGGTGTAGCAAGAGACTTCCAAACCCTGAACATAAATTCTAGAACTTTACATCCTAGGCCTGGCTGGCTGTTTCAAATCTGGTAGCCCCTCCTGTGTTGGTGAGAATGTCCTGACAGCACTGTGACAAGTACTGTCCCTGGAACTGGGTGCCTGGAAGGCCAGAGAGAGAGGCCAGGAGAGATGGTCTCAGCTGTCTCTGAATATGGGAAGAAGTTACAGATTGGGAAAGAAATAGCTTCCTTCATATCAACTTCAGACACTTACCGACTTCTAGTTCCATACTAGTGCAGTATGGCATAGACTCATTATATGTGAATTCTTGTTTATTTGATTCTGTAAGTTTCGCACTGTCATCACGCTTATGAGATGATTAAGTACATGAGACATATAAGTTCAATTAAAACAATCTAAAAAAATCAAATGATATGATTTCTCTCATTTGTGGACTGTGTATTTTATATAGATACATAAAGAAAACATATGCCTATAGGTACATGCACACCATGCACACACACACACACACACACACATCCCACATAGACACATACATGACATGAACGAGAGTTGAGACTGGATGAAGGAAGGGTCTAGTGGGAAAGGGAGGGAGAAAATATGAGTGAGCGAGGTCACATGGTAAATGTGCATAATACACTCAAATAAAGCAGCTTGCTTTTTTAAAAAGCAAGTACATTGTCCTTCCCAACATAGGGGGTAAAAAAATCTACTCATTGGGGAAAGAGAATGGAAACTTCTGGCCACTAATTGCTATTGCTTTCTGCTTTAATATGATTACATTGGGTACTCACAGTGCTGTCAAATTTCCAAGGCTAAAAATCCTACCCAGCTAGACCACTACACAGCAAATAAAGACAAATGATAAAAAAACCCTCTTCCTCAAACCCTGAACTGCAAAACATTCTCTTTTTTTCCTGGAATAATTACCTCACAAATGACCCCACTACAGTGTAATTTTTAAAAATAGTCCTTCATTGAAAACAATTACTTTGAAAAAAAATAACCTTGCTGCAAAAAAGAGGCCTGCTATCAACATAACCCTACCATGCACTTGAGTAGCCCATGCCCTGTTTTCTTATGGGATTTGTTCTGATACATGAAAGCAGTTACGGCACACAGTGAATTTCCACTCATTTGCAGGCCTGTCTAGTAAGGGATAATGTATTTGCTCGGTGATTTTAATTGCAAATTGTGCCCTTAGAACTCCTAGGTAAATGTTTTCTTAGTAAAGTATTGCAAGCTCATAGGCATCTATTATGCTGGTCAGTAAAATATTTGCATTTAAATAATAAAATATGAGATAGAAGCAAGTGAAGTTCTGCATTGAAATTTCCATTTGTTCTCACCATTCTTCTGGGAAGACAAGTTATAATAGAAATCACTACAGTTTAACTAAAAAAGAACCTGTTCCTGATGTGATAAATGATCAAGTGGCAAATTTTGGGTCACTTAAGACAGTCTAGTTTATTCTAGTTGTCTTGGCATAGTAATAATAGAGATCATTTTTCTATATATCTCTCTAGAACTAGAACAATAAGTCACATCTTTATCCTATGTGAAATTCTAAAATTGATCAAGATTAATGTTAGAGTGTGTATGAAGGTTAGGTTCACAAATAAGGACATTTTGGGATCAAACTGTAGGAAATTTATCTGAAGTTAAGAATCCTGTTCTATGTCAAAGGGAGAAAGTACTGTATAATATCACCCTGAATATCTATTTTTGAACTATCCAATATTATTGTGATATTTTGTAAAATGTCCTCTAAGTGCAAAACTTCAGGATGTGGCCAGATAGCTGAGTATTTGGAATCTTAGAGTAAGAGGGGATATATAGCCCTTACCTCCCATACTCCCCATGGGACACATAGACATGCACATATGTTAAGAACTAAGTGTTGCACCTATTTCTATCTCTGAGCTAGGCATGGCGCTGCAAGGTTGTAATCCAAGCATTTTCCAGGATGAGGCAGGAGAATGGAAGTTAAGGTCAGCTATGCAATGAGAGACAGACAGAAAAAACCCCAACCCCCAAAACAAACCAAAATAAACTAAACAAACACCCCCAACTAAAACAAATATTTTGAAAAGCTTAAAAGTATGATTTTTTTCCAAGTCCAATGAGGAAAGAAATTTTTAGCTGTTTGAAGTAGATGTAATTAAAATATCGGCTTCATTAGATTTAGAAGATCTGCAAGCAGTCCCCTGATAATATGAATGAAAGGAACGGTGCAGAAAATATTATTGTCAAGCCACAGAGGACAGTAAGAGAATTTGGTTCCAGTGGGATTGTCATGCCTTTGGTGTGTCAGTGTGTGTGTGTGTGTGTGTGTGTGTGTGTGTGTGTGTGTGTTTATGCTGAGGTCAGAGGACGACTTAAGAGATTCAGTTCTCTTGTACCATCATTTGTCTCCTGGGGTGGGGGTAGTATTCACGTACATAACCTTGATTGCAAGTCCCTTTACTTGCTCTGACCTCTTGCTGGCCTGGGGTTGGTAATTCTGTCAGTGTAAGTTTACCTTTCTAAAAAGGAGCAAGCAACAGAGACTGAGTCTGGGGCCAAGGCAGCTGCTGGATGCTGCAGTAGGTTAGTAGTCAGAATAAAAGCAGAAGGAATCAAAGTGTTGGTGTGCAGTAGGGAACCTGAATATAAAAGATATTCTTCAAAAATGTAAAAATCAAAGGGAGAAAGCTCCGTGTTCCCCAGGTGTTATCCAATGCTCTCTCTGGGTCACTGACAGGAAGCATGAGTGCATGTCTGCAGTGGGAACACATAAGAAACATCCTCATCCAGAACAATGACAGCATTCTTGTGCGGTTTTTATTTGTCTATTTTATGTGACAGACTCTTATGTTTTCTGGCTGGCCCAGAGCTCTCTTTATAGTCCAAGCTGACTTTGAGCTTGAAATCTTCCTGCCTCAACCTTCAAAGCACAGGGAAGTCAAGCTCGTGCAGCTGCTGATAATTGTGAAGGATTTGCATTAAGAAATAATAGATTTTCATTTTGTCGACATTGCACCTTGTCCTGAAAGAAATGTTTTGACATGTGTTAAAAATCTTTATATAACATGCAAAGATATGCTTTGACCTCCATATTACTGAAATATTATATTCCCTGTATTATAAGAAATACCACACTTCTGTTTGTAAATGTGAAGAATACTCAGGTGTTCCATAGTTGATAATTTGGATATAATTTGATTTTTTCAGCAGCATTACATATTTTCACAATGTTACTTAACCATGATCAATGCATAGTTCTAGAAAAATGAAACAAAACAAAACACGCAGAAACTCCAAAGTATTAAAACACAGACCTCCTCCTTACTCTGTTCTCCTTAGATATTTTTCCTTTGGTGTTTGCTTTACTCAGTGTATTGGAGATTTCTTTAATGCATTTTTAAATTTACTTCATTTTTATGACTGAGGCATATACTGCTACACGAGTGCCTGACTTTTGCTTTTTGTCTGTGGGGACATTTCAGTCATTGCCAACTTTTGGCTATTGTGAATGTTGTTGCACGAATATCTTGAGTCATTGTCTCAGTCTTATGGGTGTGTTCCTAAGGGTGGAATTGCTGGATAATGTCATGACCAGGTTGTTTTCTGTACAATGTATCTCATTTCACCTTCTCCCCCTAAGGATTAAGAGTCTCAATTTCTCTCTATGTTAGCCCAAACTTGTTCTGTTTGCTTCTTTCCATCTCCTTTGTTACAGTTCCCCTTTTTCTTTCTTTGTCTTCCATCCTCTTCCTCTTTGCACCTCTCCTCTTTCCCCTTTCCCCTCCTCCTCCCCATCATTCCTCTTGCCCTTTTCCTTCTTTCTCTTCTTTCCCTTCCTCCTCAGTAGCTGGAATTACTATAGGTCAACTCTACTAGGTCTGGATGAACTGAAAACATCTACTTTCTTGCAGGTGGATAGCAGTGTTACCAATGCCATCTCTTGGAAAGATTGTTTTGTGAACATCAGATGATATTCATACCTGCTAAAATCCAGAGACATTGTACTTTACATATTCCTATCTTGGAATCTGGTTCTCAGTGTAGACATATTAAGAGGCAGTATGACCTTTTAACTGGTAGAACTTGGGAGGAGGTCCCTCCCTCATTTCTGCATTGCCCTTGGAAGGAAATGAAGAGAAACAAATTTCTTCTGATTAAATGACTCATCCTGTGGCAGCCTTAGCTAACTAAGAAGAAATGAAGGAAATTAAACACCTTTATTTAACATTCATCTACATGTCTGTCTATTTATTCAACTACCATATATTATGTATTTGTGTATGCATGTAGGTATGCATTTATCTGTCTTTTCTTGAAAACAGAAAGTACTTAAATTATTTTTCAATATGGCTCTTTTTATTAACATTCAAGCACATTTGCTATAAAAACACTAGAAAATAAAAGAACGGACATCATATTGTTTTAATAACTTTCAATAAGAGTAAAATATAAAGAAATGTACATGTACACTTGATACTAAGAACTTAATGTTTCACAATCCTATAGAAGAAGCAAAATGTGTAACTTGAGCCAGATGTTGAAATGGTTGGCATTTATCTAAGAGCAAATATTTCAGAAAATATGTAGAAGTATAACCACAGAATTGCTTTAGGGGGTTCTCTAGCTGAATATTTTTACATTGTACTTCACTTGGTTTTTTAAAATGAAACTATGTTCTGATCTAACTATTCATATAAATAAATAAAGATTCCACAGGAGAAGCAGTTCAGCATAGTAAAGAGTTTGAGTTCTAAAGTCAGATTTTTGGCTTTACCAATTCCTAGCTAGTGGCTCTTGGGGAAGTCTGAGTTTCCGGAGTACTCATTTGAAAATGGTGACGACAACAGCTACCTTATCTCAGAGGAGGTATTGTTAGAGTGAGCTAACACCTCGAAAGTGCTTTCCACAGCATCTGACACACACCAAGTACTCAGTGGAGAATAATGAGTATTAATGTTGCTATTACTACTAAGAAAATAAGCGCCCCTTGAATCTATAAACACACCTAAAAAGGTCTACAAGAAGTAAGCACGTAAGACTAGCAATAATCGGCAGCTGTGGCCAGAGACTAGAGCCTGAGTTACCGAGGTGGTGTAGGTATATCCAAGCTGTGCACACAGGAATTTGAGGATAAAGTGGAGTAAAGGTAGAGGTCACTGTCTGGTGGACACAGCTGGTCATTCATGCAATGTTAAGTCTATCTCAAAACTAGGACAGGAAACGAGGCGAAGAACAATTAGCCAGAGAAAGACCCTACTTACTGGCTGCAGAATAACTGGGAAGATAGTAACAGCACCTCTCTGCACATTCCCAGGATCCCCAATCCTCTGTGGCCCAGTTTTTGCTAGCGCAACTCTACCTCTACTCCCCTACCTACTTTTCCCTGCAAGTAATGAAATCAGAAAAAAGGCAAAGAAAATTACTTCCCGGCAGCACCTTACAAACAGCCTTGGGTGCTTAAAAAGTGCAATTGGTCATAGATAACACGAGGAGGGCAACACACTCCCTGTTTCCTCACGCCTTGCAAAACAGGCAAACATGGGAAGAACCACGTGGATATTGACATCACTGAAGTAGCGACACACTTAAAACAGTCCTCTGCAAATAGCAAATGTAAAAGAAGATACCCCACAGGTCATCTTCTCTTACTATGCCCCCTCCTTTGTACTCACACAGTAATTCTCCCAGCCGACTGACTAACTCCTTTGGGTTATTTAGGAAGGCCATATTTTAATTCAGACCTGAGCTATCCTACCCCTGCATCTACAATCTGGCTTTCTTTCTTTCTTTCTTTCTTTCTTTCTTTCTTTCTTTCTTTCTTTCTTTCTTTCTTTCTTTCTTTCTTTCTTTCTTGTTTTTGGTACTGGGGATGTCCTCACACATGCCAAGCATGCATGTACTCCACTACCGAGCTACACCCCCAGCCACATACATGGCTTTTCCTTATTTAACTCTGAAGTTTGATATGGCATGGCTCACCCATAACTCTACTATTTTAAGTAAAGAACTATTTCTGCAGGTTGGGGTTTCTAACTGATTTTTACTGACAGGAGAAAGAGTCAAACCATAGTCAATTCGAAGAACAGATACGGAGTCTCTTAAAAGGATCCATCTTTTAAGAATGAAAAGGAACAATTTTAAATTTAATTCCTGCAACTTTCCTCCCATACCATATTTTTTCAAAAATCTTTAAACACTGTATTAGCTTTGAAGAAGTAAAAAACATGTACCTTAATAACTAGAGGCTTATCTAGCCCTAAATGTATCACAGAAGAAGCATACTTCACATGAAGAGGACTGGTACAGAAGCCAGGCACGGTGGTTGGTGCATTCCTATAATTACAGCACTGGAGATGCTAGGACAGGAAGATCACAAGTTCAAGGCCATCTTCCAGTATGTAACAAGAATGTATTCCCACGACAAATAAGACAGAAAACTTATTTATGCAAAGATTTTGAAAACAATCTACCTCCTAGAAAGCAATTGAAATGGGGTCAAAGACTTCAACGAAAGAAAAAAACAACAATGTAGGAAAAATCATTGGGATGGTCAGAAAATTTTTTCCTGGGACATAGAGAGTAGATCATGAAATCAAGAAGCTATTTCATCTTGATGCAAGCGCTGGCCTCCAGTGTGAACTAAAAAAAACTCTGGATTATTTGAAATCAAGAAGCTATTTCATCTTGATGCAAGCGCTGGCCTCCAGTCTGAACTAAAAAAACTCTGGATTATTTGAACTCAAGAAGCTATTTCATCTTGATGTAAGCGCTGGCCTCCAGTGTGAACTAAAAAACTCTGGATTATTTGAACTGGTTGTCGATCAGTGTCCCCTTCATTTTTGCTTTCTTGGCTTCCAATTCAGCCAGCTCTTGCAGTCGCCTCTTACTCATGCCTTTGCGCTCCAGCTGTTTTTCAATCACTTTGGCGTTCTGTGCATAGGAGTCAGCAACTTCCCTAGCCTCTATCTCTTCTTCTTCTTCATCAATGGTAGACACAGTGACAGAGCTGAACTTGCCCATGTCTTTAGTCCGTTTGGTCATCATAACCTTCTTAGGAGGCTCTTGCTTCTGAGTATATATATTGGTTTTCCCAAAGCCTTGGCCAAATTTCACTACTGCTCCATCCACGATGAAGGTCACAGGAGCATTCTTCGGCTGGGACTGGTAGAAGAGTGGCAGTCCACACTTTGCACACTTCTTTCTGTATTGACGTTCAATGCCCTCAGGCCTCCGAAGATACGTAGTCTCCTCATCCTCTGTGTTACAAAACTTATGAGCATGTTTGGCAGCATCAATCACTCGAGACCTGTCCCGAGGCCTCATGGGCAATTTCTCTAGCTGACAATCCAGGACCAGGACCATCTGGCCGCACAAACAGTAGTAGACATGGAGGGGCTTCTCGCCGTCATCATATTCCTCGCGGTCCCTGGTGTCTGAGCAGACCACCGACCTGGATACGACTTTCGGCATAGCTCCGGCGGAGTAGCCTGAAAACTCCAAGGAATCTTAAATTATTAGACAATATTTTTCCATCTATGGATAAATTCACTTTTTAGTTCTTAATTCCATTCAGATTTTGAATAAAAGAAATTGCTTTTATATAGCTCCAGTTATTTTTCGACTACTTATAACAATGACAAGATGAAAGAATTAGATGTATTTTATTAATTAAAAATTACCTTCAAGCTCAAGGAAAAAAGTCCCATGTTTAAATGTTTGAATGCTGAACAAGGGCTTATCATTGTGCTGAAGGTCAAACCAGATGGCTTTTCTAACCCCTTACAATTCTAAATTCTGCAACTGAAGAAATTGTCACTGTGTTTAACTATTTGGTAGGATCCAATTAGCCATCCTGTCAAGACCTTTGTGAACCCAGCAAAAATTATGCAAACTTGTAAGGAGAGTTAACAAGGAGTTGTGCAACTCCTTTATCCGGGATGAGGGAATTCATTTTAATAGGGCAGGGCAATACAATTGCCCTAATTGCCTTAGCAACGTCATTTAAAGTTAATCAAGTGCGTACACAAACATAAGGCACTGTACAGGAAGATATAAACCCCAGGTTTGCATTATTCATAGCAGACTAAATTTAGACCACCATTTTATGGACTTATTGCAAAGTTTCTAGTATAACTGTCAAGAAGTAAAGTAAAAATAATTACACCTTTAGTTAAATAGGATTATAGTACTTATATTTCATACAATCAATATTTTTCTTGCTATATAAAATTATTCATATACAAAATATTATAGATTACTACAGGGCAATCATTATATAATATATAGCACAATTGTATATTATTTATAATTATATCATGCATATTTATAAGGCTAATCATGAATTTCTTTAAAATTAGTATATGAAATGGAGTATTACTTAGCTTTTAAAAACAATGACATCATGAAATTTAAGGCAAATGGATGGAACTGAAAAAAATCATCCTGAGTGAGATAACCTAGACCTAGAAAGGTAAACATGGCATATATTCATTCACTCATAAGTGGTTATTAGCTGTAAAATAGAGGATAACTATGCTACAAACCACAGACCCCGAGAAACTAGGTAACAAGGAGGGTTCAGGGGGGAACACTAGCATCTCCCAGGAAAGGGGGCATAGAACAGACTTCATGAGTAGACTATGGGCAAGTAGGGATGGGAACATAAGCAATCAGGTTTTAGGGGAAGGAGGGGAAGAGCAAAACCTTGGTTTTTCTATGTCCTTTTCGTAGTGGCTGCCATCAGGAGGTGTGGTCTAGATTAAAGGTGGGTCATCCCACTTCAAATAATTTAATTAAGAAAAATCCCTCATAGTTGTACACAGCTGCTTCAGTTTTAGTGAATTCTAGATGTGAAGTCAAGTTGACAACCAAAGAATAGCTATCACATAAAAAATTCACTAAATTATAGTGCATTAAAAAGTTATTATTAATATTTTTACTTAACAACTCAATGGATAGGGAAAAGCTTTAGCGTCCATGGTGACTTCCAATTGAGATGACAATTGCGTCAGATATTTTTATTTCTGATTGTTATGTAAAAACCATCTATCTACTCTCACCCTGAACTCTTGGGGGAGGGTCTAGGCCCTGCCCTATATGAAATGACAGACTATGGACACCCCCATGGAGGGCCTTACCCTCCCTGGGGAAATGAGGGGACAATGGGGGGGGTTGGGGGAGGGCACGGGAGGAGGGGAGGGAAAGGGAGAGGGACCTGGAACTGACTTGTGAAGCAACCTTGTTTCTTATCTAAATTTAAACTGAAAAATAAATAAATAAAAAGAAAAAATAGCACAAAAAACCATCTATCTAATTATAATAAACTCAGTCTTACCTAAACTTATTTTACTTAGATAAAAATTATTTTTATATTTATTTCTATTTTGTGGGTGTATTTTGCCACATGTATGCAGTGCCCAAGATGCCAGGAGTTTTAAACCGTTGTGAACTGCCATGTGGGTGCTGGGAAGTGAACCCAGGTCATCTGGAAGAGCATCAAATATTTCTAGGGTTCTTAACTGCTAACTGCTGAACCATTTCTTCTCCTAAATCCTATGGTTTCTAGAACCACAATAATCTTTTGGATGTGAATATATATATATATATATATTATATGTGAGTGTGTGTGCTATGTTTCAGTGAAATTTGGAATGCTCTTGTGACTATGAATTCCAAGGTTCACTGAAGAATTCCTTGATTGATTGAATGCTGTAATTACCATACTTGTTAATGGAATTGTTGCACAATTAAAAGAAGTGAAATAAGATGGAAGTGATTATCTTGCTCACTCAATTGGACACAGCTCAGAAATACTTGGAATGTAGTCTCTGGTTCTGTGTATGACCTTTAGGGATAATTTTGAAAGACCAAAGATTGAAGAAGTCTTTCAGGAAGTTGAGAATTCATGAAGTTGAGAAATCTTTGAATTATAAAAAGTATTCTATACTAAAAAGGAAGAAACTTAAAGTTAAAATGTGAGATTTCAAAAATATGAGATGATTTGTTCTTTGAGAAAACCGAGCTGCCTCTTGCCTCTTGTCTACAATGCCTCAGGGAAGAACTAGACCCCACATATTGGCCCCTGGAGTGACTGATAGGATGTCTGGACACATGAAAGAGCTGAGATGTCAGAAAAGAGAGCAGGCTGCTTCCATGGACAGCACATTGAGGGGCTTTACATACCAGGCTGGGAATAGGATTAGATATTCTCTACTATTTCTTCACGATCTGAGAATCTGTGTGATTGTGATATGTAGAACTTATAAATTACCCAGTACACAAACAATCAATGTGAAAGCAAATATTGAGAGCAATGGAAGACATAATTCTCTTTATCTACATCAGTAAGTTAGTAAGGCTATCACAACACAGTTATCCTACTGTAATTCACTATGACACTCTAACATTGATGGGTCAGTCAAACATCAATGTCTAAGTAATTGAGGGGGAGTGAAGACAGGCATGCACACACTGTTAAGCAGTGTGACACTGTCAGGAAAGGCAGTTGTAATTAGGTCACTTTACAAAGCATCCATATTCTTCCCATTTCAGCCTCTCTTGTCCTTTCCTTAGTATACTCTACTTACAGCTCTGTTCTTAGTGAACCCACTCATTTCTACTTTCTTTTCATCTTTAATTTCACTGTAGCTTTCTCTTTTATTCCTCTCTCTTTCCTTTGTCTTTCTTGCTGCTTACACTTTTGTATTGTGATCTTTCAATGATGATTTATGTCATCAGTGAGTTCTTTCTGAGAATCTACTATGAACCAAGAACTCTAATACTAATGTAGTATGTAAAAAAGATAGAAGTTTTATGCTTATTTATCTGAGTTCAGAAGGAAGACAGACAGGAAATAAACAGATAAACTCTTAAAGCTATTAGAACACGACCGTGTGGGTATAAGAAAATACTGAACATCATAGATGCCCGTTTACACAATGGAGTATTACTCAGCTGTAAAAAAAATCAGGAAATTTTCAGGCAAATAGATGGAACTAGAAAAAAATCACCCTGAGTGAGGTACTCCAGACCCAGAAAGACAAACATGGTATGTACTCACTCATAAGTAGATACTAGATGTAAAACAAAGGATAACTAGACTATAATGCACAGCTCCAGAGAAGCTAGGTAACAAGGAGGACCCCAATAGGGAGACACGGATTGCCCTGGGAAGGGGAAATAGGTGAGATCAACTTCATAAACTGGGGCAGAAGGGAAATAGAGGAGAGGGGATGGGGGATGGGAACATAAGGGAACTGGAAGGTGGAGTTGGGTAAAGTATGGAGTGGGAGAGAAATGAAAGATATATTTTGATAGACAGAGCCATTATGGGGTTAGGTAGAAACCTGGCGCTAGATAAATTACCAGGTGTCCACAAGGTTGACCCCAACTAGGACTCCTAGCAATAGTGGAGAGGGTGTCTGAATTTGCCTTCCCCTGTAATCAGATTGGTGATACCCTAACCATCATTATAGTACCTCATCCAGTAGCTGATGTCAGCAGATGCAGAAATCCACAGCCAAGATCATGGTGGAGAAACCCACAGAGACAGGAGACTGGAGGTCATGGGACCTCACGGACTCTAGACCTACAGCTGGGGATCACGCATGGGACCTAACTAGTTCCCCTGCACGTATGTGGGATACTGTTTTATAGCCTGGTTTGTTTTGGGGGGGTGCCTGGCAGTGCGATCAGTATAGCATGAACTGGCTTTTTAGAGCCTGTTCCATTTGATGGGATGCCTGGCTCGGCCTTGATGAATGGTGAGGGTCTTGGTTCTGGCTCAACTTAATAGGCCAGGGTTTTTTGACTCCCTTTGGGAGGTCTTACTCATTGGAGGAGTTGAGGAGCAATCGATTGGGAGTGGTAGGGGAGAGCAGGAGGAGAGGAAAGAGGAGGAATTGTATTTGGTATGTAAAATGAATAAAAAAATTTAATGAAAGAAAATGATGGACAGGTTAATAACAATGTAGACTAAGATTTATTTGTGGTAACTAAGGCAGGTGGTGCTGAGGAGTAAAATCAGAATAAATCTCATTGAGATTAGAGATTTAAGGCAAGAAGTGACAAGGGAAAAGGCATACAACCAAGAAGTTATCTAAGGTTAGACTGTACCATGAGGGAGAAATGGCAGACTTAAGTTTCAGTGCTAGGATGTTATAGGTATGATCCAACAGAGAAGCAAGAGGAATTTGAGTTAAAACAGACCTGTCAGGAGCACAACATGAAGAGATTGTGTAGAGCAGTGTATGTGAAGAGTTAGCAAGACTTGACATGAGTTACTTCTCCAGACTCCTCCTGGATGCTGTGTGGAAAGTGGCTTTTAAGTGTTATATTCGCAGAGGAATCTGTTGGCTTATACAGCCAGATGAGAAGACTAGGGAAACACCATACAGTAAAAAAGTAGCAGAGAAGAGCAAAAACTAATGAAGACTGTTAGTATTCAGGCACCTGTACTGGCCTGTCCTTGGGGTTCTGACATGATATGCCCTCAGCTGC